CATAATTGTCTGGAAAAAATGTGTGTGTGTGTGTGTGTGTGTGTGTAAATTTGGATATCATTCTCTGTTCAGGTGATTCCACCAGAAATGTACTGAGTGTGTGGAAGATACATATACGAAAGAGACAATATTCTATCTGATGTTTTCTGGAGAGGCTATCCTGAAGAACCTGATAGATTTATCTTTTAGTCTTAAAAAATGTTATTTTAGGAGTGCCTGGGTGGCTCAGTCATTAAGCGTTTGCCTTCGGCTCAGGTCATGATCCCAGGGTCCTGGGATCAAGCCCGCATCGGGCTCCCTGCTCAGTGGGAAGACTGCTTCTCCCTCTCTTGCTCCCCCTGCTTGTGTTCCCTCTCTCTCTGTGTCTCTCTTTGTCAAATAAATAAATAAAATCTTTCAAAAAAATGTTATTTTAAAATCAGAATTGGCAGAGCACAGATTGGAACTCTCCTAATGGCATTACCTCATTCATTATAACACTTTTTCCTCTAAAAATGATGTTGAGACACTTTAGCACATTTTGTTCTGGTCCAATTTTTATTTTGTCCAAAATCTTTTCCCATTAAAAGCTTGTTTGTTTGTTTGTTTGTTTGTTTTTAAAAGTAGGCTCCAGGACCAGTGTGGAGCCTAATGCGGGGCTTAAACTCATGACCCTGAGATCAAGACCTGAGCCGAGATCAAGGGTCAGATACTTAACTGACTGAGCCACCCAGGCACCCCCTCTTAAAAGGCTTTTTGAAAACACCTTTGTTGGGGCACCTGGCTGGCTCAGTTGGTTAAGTGTCTGCCTTCTGCTCAGGTCATGGTCTCGGGGTCCTGGGATTGAATCCCGCATCAGGCTCCCTGCTTAGCAAGGAATCTGCTTCTCCCTCTCCTTCTGCCCCTCCCCCCGCTCGTGCACGCTTTCTCTCCCTCTTTCAAATAAATAAATAAAATCTTAAAAAAAAAAACAGCTTTGTCTGTTGTAATCATGTATACTGATCAAATGATGTTTAGGCTTTTCAGAGCAAATTCACTTAGTTTTCAAGAGAAAAAGAAAAGAAAACTCCTGAAATAATCCATTTTCACTGAGATTATATACAATATCAACAGAATATTTAGGAGATTTATTTTTTATTTTTTATCAAAAATTTAAATGACTTGGCTTTTCCTCAAATACCACATTACCTAGTTACCTGGGTTTTTCACTTCAAGTTATTGCCAAATAGTCTGGATAAATCAATTCATTATCAGCTATGGTAATACAATTTGTTATTATCTAATGAAACCCAACTAAGAGGATTTGTATTGGAAAATATCTTTGTTGTTTTTTTGTTTTGTTTTGTTTTTAAATATTTTATTTATTTATTTTACAGAGAGAGAGACAGTGAGAGAGGGAACACAACTTGGGGGAGTGGGCTTCCCGTTGAGCAGGGAACTAGATGCAGGGCTCAGTCCCAGGACTCTGGGATCGTGATCTGAGCTGAAGGCAAGACGCTTAACAACTGAGCCACCCAGGCACCCCTGGAATATATCTTGACTCTGAATTGAAAGAATTACTTTTGCACATACAGATACAAATCTGTGAAACAAATGTGTTTGCCCTACAGAAACATTTTGGTCATGGGAATGAGCAGTTACCCAAATGTTAATGACAGTTAACATTATAATACCTTGAGCGTTATATTCACTATCTTACTCAGTCATCCTTTTATAAGTTCATAAACTTAAGCTTTCCCAGAGTCACATAGCTAGGTAAATGTTGGCACCAAAATTAGGGTCCAGTTCTCTGATGCAACAGCCCCAGTTGGCTTTTTTCTTTTTTTTAACCTGTTACACTATTTTTTTGGAATATTTTGGTTTCTGTAGCCATAATATGTAACTTGTGGATTGTGTTCCAGATATGAGCAAGTACTATGTCATAAAATCAAAGCTACAACTTAGAAGCTTCTAATAATAATTTAAAATAACAAAACTGTATTTTTAGTTCTAATTTTATCACCTAACATACAGGGAATCCTTGCTTTGCATGATATTGCTAAGCCATAAATGACTGTGGAAGCTGAAACCATGCAAAACAAACTCATAATTAATAGAGAAAATTCAATTGTTCTGTGATTTTTTTTTTTTTTTTAAGTAAGCTCAACACCCAATGTGGGGCTTGAACTCATGACACCAAGATCAGGAGTCTCATGCTGTACCACCTGAGGCAACCAGGTGCCCTTTGTTCTATGATCCTTAAAAAATTTTTGTTAAAACATTAAAAACTCTCTTACTGTTGGTTATAAATGTATAAAGAAATGAAAAAATCGTAAAACTACTTAGTACACTGTAATCCAAAGAGTAGAAGCATAGTTAAAGTTTTCCTTGTAAAAAAAAAAAAAACTTATCTTTGAAATAAAAATTTAACACCCCCCAAAAAACTAGGGAAATTAACTTTACATTTTATAGAATATCAAAGATATCCAAACTTTTGAAACAAAAATTTAAATTGTACCTACACCCCCCAAAAAACTTATCAAATACAGTTCAATCTTGCCTTCTTCTCATCATATGTTTTATGATAGGAGCAAGAATTTTTTATATGCCTTGGTAAATTGTCATACTCCTGTTTGGATTAGCTTTCAGCATTCTATCCGTTGCACTTTCAATGTCTGAAAATATCTCTGAGAGTATCTTTAGTGTGCCCATGTCACTTCTTCTAGGACATTTTTATCTTTTTGTAACAACTACTTTTTTGATTTATGTTGATGCATTCTCCTTCACCAAGTGCTTTGGCTGCATATCTAAATTCTTTCAAATGACATCAGTGTCAACATTGTCACATTCAATTATTTCTTCTGTAACTTCATTTATATCTGATTCAGATTTTACTTCCAATGTTGTCACTGTTTGTTTCTCTGCTACTTGTTCTTTTTTTCCTTCCTTTCCTTTTCCCTTCCTTCTTCCCTCCTTCCCTTTTTCTTTCTTTCTTTCTTTCTTTCTTTCTTTCTTTCTTTCTTTCTTTCTTTCTTTCTTTCTTTCTTTCTTTCTTTCTTTCTCTTTCTTTCTCTTTCTTTCTTTCTTTCTCTTTCTTTCTTTCTTTCTTTCTTTCTTTCTTTCTTTCTTTCTTTCTTTCTTCCTTCCTTCCTTCCTTCCTTCCTTCCTTCCTTCCTTCCTTCCTTTCTTTCTTTCTCTCTCTCTCTCCCATTTCCCTCTTTGGACTATATTTTGGTAAAACATCATGTGGGTTTACCACTGGGAGACAAGAAGACAAGAGAACACAACTACACTTTGCTCTCTGTGAATGAACTGAATAACAGATACAAACTGTGACCAATCACTGAAACACTTCGACAGAAGTGATATGATTTCACTTGTCATGATGTTATTATGTAGTGATTTTGTAGATTGAAGCAGCAAAGTTTATACTGCTCACATTGCTCACAGTTATTGTACTGGTCATTGAAATGTACTGCTCAACATTGCTCACAGTTAATGTACTATGTTTTGGGGGACTGGTGTTTTAACTAACTATGGTCACTGAAATTCATGCATATTAGAACCTTAAGTGAGGACTGTCTATATATGATAATAATATGAAGGATATCATATACCACAAAGGATCATAAAAATACTAGTCTACTAGGGTGCCTAGGTAGCAGTCAGTTAAGTGTCAGCCTCTTGGTTTTGGCTCAGGTTATGATCTCAGGGTCATGAGATCAAGCCCCGCATTGGGCTCCGCACTCAGCACAGAATCTGCTTAAGACTCTCTCCCTCTCCCCCTCTCCCCACCCGCTCTCTCTCTCTCTTTCTCTCTAAAATAGATAAATAAGTCTTTCTAAAAAAATTTAAAAAATAAAGTTTGGCAATATCTCAATCTATTAAAAAAGCTACTGCTATGCTGTATTATAAATGTATAGGTAGGTATAGATCTCCTAAAGTAATATGCTGGTATTATATTAATTATAGTTTAAGAATTGATATTTATCATGTTAGTATAATAATAATTTTACTTACCTCCTAGCAATTTAGAAGTTTGGAGGGATGTAATGTATGATCCAGGAAAATCTAAAAGTTCAAACTGATAGATTCCTTTAGATAGAAAAACATTCAACATCAAACTGCTATCTTTAAAGCAAGTCTCAATAATATTATTTGCTTACTGAAAAACACATTTATGTTATAAGCATGTAAAAACTTTTAATTCATAGTGATTACCTATATGAAGGGACAGAAAATGGTTTTTTGAATTCTCCTATTATAATTTCTTATATACTTATGTTTGATGAGACAGTATTTTATATTGAGACCAGAATATTTTTCAGTATACAATAACAAAACTGTCATGTTATTCAAATAAATTGCTAATTTTTAAAATTCCTATCTGGACTGAAGGAATTGAAATGATTTGTAAATTGTTCTTTTAACCCTAAAACTCTGTGTTCTCTGACTTTTATATTAAAAGCTATCAAATGTAGTACATGTCTATTCTGGGGATTAAATGCCTATTTTTTAAGGGGATGGTTAAGGTACCTAGCATTATTTAGTAAGTTAAAGCCTTAGGTGTTAAATCTGATTTGGGGTTGAGCTCTCAGAAGGAAAGGATGATTCATAGGCACCTTGAGACAGTCACTTATCCCATATGAACTAAGGAGCAGATACATTCTAAGGCTCTCAAAATAAAGACAGTGCCAAGTACTATCTCTTGACATCATGTTATGTTTTCTATAAGGTGTTAAAAGATAAAAATAAGATTGTTTGAATAACATTTAAGTTTCATGAGTGTATGTGTATAATGCATGAGAATTTGGATGAGTAAATATGCATAGCATAATTCTTTTAAAATGATGTGCTTTTAGACTGATTGATTATCAGAACTGCTAAAATAAGAAAACACACTCCAATTTAGTTTGAAATAATGGGGACATTGGCTCTGCTGCAGTTATTTTAAATGAATACATGCCTGACTGTGAATGGATCAAGTGCATCATTGGCATTGCATTGAAGTCATTCAGAGACTTTTTTTTTTGCCATTACAGGTAGAGCGGGAAAAGGCCATTCTTCTGGCCAATCTCCAGGAGTCACAGACGCAGCTGGAGCACACCAAGGGGGCGCTGACAGAGCAGCACGAACGGGTGCACCGGCTCACAGAACATGTTAATGCCATGAGAGGCCTACAGAGCAGCAAAGAACTCAAGGCTGAGCTGGATGGGGAGAAGGGCCGGGACTCAGGGGAGGAGGCCCATGACTACGAAGTGGACATCAATGGCTTAGAGATCCTCGAATGCAAATATAGGGTGGCAGTAACTGAGGTGATTGATTTGAAAGCTGAAATTAAGGCCTTAAAGGAGAAATATAATAAATCTGTAGAAAACTATACTGAAGAGAAAGCCAAATATGAGAGTAAGATCCAAATGTATGATGAGCAGGTTACAAGTCTTGAGAAGACCACCAAGGAGAGTGGAGAGAAGATGGCCCACATGGAGAAGGAATTGCAAAAGATGACCGGCATAGCCAACGAAAATCACAATACCCTTAATACAGCCCAGGATGAGTTGGTGACATTTAGTGAGGAGCTAGCCCAGCTTTACCACCATGTATGTCTGTGTAATAACGAAACCCCCAACAGGGTCATGCTGGACTACTATAGGCAGAGCAGAGTCACTCGTAGTGGCAGCCTGAAAGGGCCTGATGACCCCAGGGGACTTTTGTCTCCACGATTAGCCAGGAGAGGTGTGTCATCCCCAGTAGAAACAAGGACCTCATCTGAACCAGTTTCAAAAGAAAACACAGAGGCCAGCAAAGAACCAAGTCCAACCAAGACCCCCACAATCTCGCCTGTTATTACTGCCCCACCATCATCTCCAGTATTAGACACAAGTGACATCCGCAAAGAGCCAATGAATATCTACAACCTTAATGCCATAATCCGGGACCAAATCAAGCATCTGCAGAAAGCTGTGGACCGGTCCTTGCAACTGTCTCGTCAAAGAGCAGCGGCACGGGAGCTGGCTCCCATGATCGATAAAGACAAGGAAGCCTTAATGGAAGAGATACTCAAGCTCAAGTCCCTGCTGAGCACCAAACGGGAGCAGATCGCCACACTGAGGGCAGTGCTGAAAGCCAATAAACAGGTGATCTCATTCTACTGACAACGCATGCTGGCCAAAGCTTTCCTAACTAGTTAATTCTTTAATGTTTTTGAGTGTCCATTATCATCAGGATGAGAGGTCAGATTCCTGGTCAGCAGAGGAATAAATCAAACTATGTCCCAGTGCCAGATCAGAATGTAAGTATTATATTTCAGTGAGTGAGTGGATGATACAGGAGAGTAAGGATGCCCCTCTAGAGAGAGGTAGAGGTGAGGCAGGTAAGCAGGATCCAAGGAGAATCCAGTTGCAATGTAGAACGACAATTCAGGCAGTACTTAGCTGGAGTCCAGCAGTCTTTGAGTGGGGAAACAGGTGATAGAGCGATGGCAGAATAGGCTGGCATGGCAGCTTACACCAGGGAGATAGCCTGGCAGGTGGCCAGAGCAAACAGAAGTCTAGAGAGAGAGAGAGACAGACAAAGATATAGAATGTCCACTAGCTCTGCCAGTGACCACATATCTGAAATTTAGGTTCAGCTGGGATGTCAATTCACCTAGGTCAGAGCTGAAGCAGTAGAAAATTTTTCTTAACAATAGGTCTCGTCCTTCTGGAATAAGTAGGAATGCTACACCAGGACTCTACCTGACTAATCCCTAGATCTCCTTCACTACCAAATTTATTTTCCACCCTTCAGCTTTACCTGGATGGGAGTGCTATGAAATATAGGTGGGAAAATATTTTGAATTTCTATTTAGTTTCTCTGGAAAGTGAACCTTGAAAGATACATTTGAGAAGGGTGCTAATAAAGGGTGTTGATAAGGAGAAACAACAAAGCATCAAATACCTTCTTGCAAACATAAGCAGTGCTGGTGTTGGGGAATGATTTCAGATGCAGTGCTCCTCCTTCTTTTGCCCTTATTTGGGGGAAACCACACCATTATTATGTCATCCACAGTACAGCTTTCTAGCAGCTTTATCTTCAGTTCCCATAAATCCACTGATGTAAATGGGAGGTCTATCCCACAAACAGTAATATTGTTTGCAGCATAAATATGTTTTATATAAATCTAAGGGCAAATTAGGACCTTCTTTTGTGCCATCACTTCAGGGAAATAGAAAAGATTAGGATGATTAAAGAATTTGTGAGAGATCTGACTCCAATTTGAGGTCAGAGTGAAAGAATTTATTGCCATAAACTGCTACAATCCAAAGACCTAGTGACTTAGAGTGGTCATCAATAGCCAAAACCATATTACTAATACCATAATAGATAAGGCTTAGATGACCTTTATCAAAGACATAATATCCCAGGCATTCTTGGTCAAGGCATTCAAATAACATCTTTGACTTCTTCTTGCAGGTTGAATATTAACAACCTGGAAACCTAGATCTATTAAGTGTCAAGATGCTTAACTGATTCAGAAGTATAGATAAGCATGGTTGATAAGCCACGGGAGACTAATTTGTGAACAAGCATCCATTGATTACATATTTCAAGGCAGGTAGTAAATAGGGATGCAAAAATAAGTGAGTGAGTGGATAATCTACTAGTAATCTAGTAGGAGTTCAACATATGCCTGTAACTATTTACAGGGTAGGATATATTGAGCGGTATAAACAGTACCACTGGAATTCAGTCAATACAGGAATACAAAGCATTCCTGGCTAAATTTTTATTTTCTCAGTGGTTTGTGGTACCATTTGCATCACATTAGCATCACAACCCTTATGGTCTCAGTAAATAAAATGAAAACACATTTCTAGCCATGCATTTAGTTTACATTTTAATGATGTTGGGCCTACTGCTATGATGCTTATGTGCCATGAATAACTTCAGATGTCTGCAGATGACATCCATTATATTTAGACATTGTGGAATGTTCGCTATTAAGACTAAGGTAAGAATTCTGTCATAAAAGGAAAAAGGGGAATCTTCCTGTTTTAAAAATAGGCATTCTGCATTCTCTATGAATCTTTTAATATACTTCAGGGTTTTTTGGTATGCACATTGTCTTCTGCTGGAATATGCAATGTTTATGAAATACCATCTGTGGACTAAACTGTGCGAGACGCTGAACATTCAACAAAGACTAATACATGGTCCCCACCTTTCAGACCAGGATTCACAAACTAGTGAGGGTGTGGGGAAAGACACAGATCATGACAGTGTGATGTTATACAGGCTGCAGTAGAAGCTATGGAAGCATTGCCGAGGAAGGGATTAATGTTTCCTAACGGGGTTAGCAAAAAACTTCATGGAAGCAATTATACTTGAGTTTGTTCTTGAAGGATAAAGAGTTGTTTTCCAGGAGAGGAGAGGAAGAAACCATTCCAGACAGAAAGAATAGTAGGTAGAGAGCCACAAGAATAGAAGGATATATTCAGGGAATGGTTGGGGAAGATCTCTGTGGCTGGAAACAAGACATTTTATTTAGAAAGTCAACTTTGGGAGCATGGAGAATGTAGTGAATGCAGTCATCACCAAATCTACTCAAAGGTTGTAGATACTCAGAATTTCTTACTTCTGAAAAAGCTTTGTGCAGTCTGTGGACAAACAAACAAAAAACCCTACAAACAAAGTGGAGTCTTCTGGAGCATTTCTTACAAAGAATAAATGAGTTTGTACTTCTATTTCAGATCTTGTTCTTTTGTCATTCCTTCCTCTCCAACCCTTAGATAACGGATCATGTGGCTCCACATGCTTACAGATTTGTATGTCAACATTTTCACAACTTTTAAACTTAATGGTCTGTCCTAAGTAAATATGTGTATAAATTTTTAAAAAATTAAACAACTGCCATGTTTTCCCCCAGGTCAATTTCTGCATTCTGGATAATTTTCTGAATCTGTAATATTTCTGAAGATTCCACTGAGCTATAGCACTACAGAACATACCAAAATATTTTATGAGTACTTTCTCATTTTAATCTGAATCTGAAATTCAATTAAAACTCGTAAGAAACTACTCTGGAATCAAAACATTAACAAACTACCCTATCCCAACATTGTTTTAATTTTAAAAAGAATCCACTTGTCTCTATGGAGACATAAGAAAGTCAAGGCTGTCCATTTCAAGCACAAAAGGAAATGTTAAAAACCAGGAAAGTCTTCCTAGGAAATCCCATTAGTAATGGATTTTTTTTTCATTAGTAATGGACTTTTTCATTAATATTGAATATTTTTACACACTCTGAAAAGCTGTGGATAACGGTTTGTAAAAATAGTATGTTTGCAGTTTGACTTCAATACATACACAATGTGCTATGCATCAAACAGGCAGTCCCTAAATATACATTGATTTCATGCATTGATTCAGTCCACATTTTTCTTTCTTCCTACTATGTGTCAAGCTAGTTCTCAGCTTGAAACACTGTTAATTTCAAAAGATTCAGAAATGCCCAAATTCCAAGTTCAAACAAGTATTTTAATTCATTCAATATTTTGGAATTTCTGCTTTTATGGAGATTGTGAAGAATTAAATTAGACTATAGTTTTTTGTTTTGAAGTTGTAGGCAAAGACAGGAAGTATTTGGTTCTTTGTTAATTCTTTTCCTTAAACACGTAATATGGATTTATAGTTTGTCATATACCCATGCTATAAATTGCAATGGCCTGTGTCTTTTAGGCCCACAGAGCACAAGTGACACAAGAATGTTTGCATTCTATTGTATTTCAATTGGTCTGTGCTTCTTCACTACCTTCTTCTGGATAACATCCTTCCTGTATAAACTTTCATTTCTGCTCCCTTTTTGTCTGAAAAATCGCACTTTCAAGCATCTGCATTAGCTATTTACTGAACTACTATCATTTCCTCAGCTCCTGATACTGACTCTGGTTCACAGCTGGCTTCTAGGGCAATTTAGCCACGTTAAAGTACATATATATATATATTTATTTATCTATATATAGATATAGATAGATAGACATCTATCTATATATAGATATAGATACAAAGATAGATAGATAGATAGATAGATAGATAGATAGATAGATAGATAGATAAATAAAATGTAACCAAATCAATTTCATTCTCCGTTTATGAAAGAAAATAATAGACCCAGCATGGACAAATCTGTATGATCGGTTTTCCTGATATGAAAACCATAAGCATTGTGATTTTTCTGCTTCAGACAGCTGAGGTGGCACTAGCTAATCTCAAGAACAAATACGAAAATGAGAAAGCAATGGTGACTGAAACTATGACGAAGCTTAGGAACGAACTGAAGGCTTTGAAAGAAGATGCAGCGACTTTCTCATCCCTGAGAGCAATGTTTGCAACAAGGTAATAGTTTCTTCTTCCAAGATTAGGTGCGATAGGTGGAGGAAAGACTTTAAAATTCACATTTATCTCTTGAGTGTTGTTTGGTGTGCCATTCAAGAGGGTAAGGTGTGAAGAAAACACTTGAGATTCCGCTCTGACCAAACTAAGACAAAATGTTTTGTGCTGTTTTCCAGAGCCCTCTACTGGACACACTGGATCAAGCAGTTCTTTTACACAGAAGTATTTTTAAATTAATGTAATAGATATTTTTCCTAGAGGTTGTATGCCCAAAAGAATTAGACCCCTCCCCCAAAAGCCTCCAATAAGGGGGGGACATACTTCCTAAAATAGCTAAATATTATATTTTCACCACTGAAATTTATTTCTGTGACTAAAGGACATAAAAGTGCTTATCATTAGTATTGTGTGAGAAAGACCTCCATAACAAATATCAATATTCATTATATCAGCTAATTACGTGGACTTTAATACATGTGAATTAAATTAGAATTTCTAAAATGTAATTGTATTTATCACCAAATTTTTCACATTGCCCAGCTAATTAATTAGACGAATATTAGTGGCTACCTCCCCCCACCAGTTTCATTATCCCAGTACAGTGGTTCTATATTTTGCTTTTAAACTTGAAGTGATTAAGCATGTAATGACTCGAAGATTTCAAAATCCTGAAATTTCTTTTTTTTAACAAGAATTTATTTATTTATTTATTTTGAGAGAGAGAGAGAGAGAGAGAAAGCAGGAGAGCAGTGTGAAGGGGAAGGGCAGAGGGAAAGGGGAATCTTAAGCAGGGTCCATGCTCAGGGTGGAGCCCAGACTTGGGGCTCACTCATGGCCCTGAGATCATGACCTGAGCCAAAATCAACATTCCATGCTTAACCAGACTGAGCTACCCAGGTGCCCCGTCAAAATCTTGAGCTTTTCAAAGATGTTGTCATCCATTGTTTTTGCTTTCACAGTTCAGTACCAAAACAAAAGCAGTCACATATCTTATATGATACAAACATGGTACAATATTCACAAAGCATAACTATGGCTTTATTTGCAGATTCAGTAAATAATTTGCATGTAGCTGATAGAAGTGTAAAAAAAGATCCTGAGCCCTGGAGTTTGTCCAGCTTCCTTGTGTATCAGGAGAGAAAAGTTTCAAGTTCATACTTTGTGATTGATTCTCTTGGTGATGCCTGTGAGAAGACTGAGTGCTTGGCGGATCACAGGGATGCAGGGGACCTATAGGAACTGACTTCTGGGTCTGAGCCTGGGAGAGTTCAAGGAGTAGGATAGATACACCTCTGGCCACTGTGAAGGGCCGGATAGAGAAGGGGGATGGTACATAGTGCTCCCCTCTTTGATGAAAGAAATCAGTCAGCATTACATGTAGAATATATATATATTCTTTTAAAAAGAAATCAAAACTTTTTTAAAGGGACATTTATATCTCAATCTGGTTTATTTAAGAATTATTTCTCCCAAATAGTGCATTTTCACACTATTTGTCTTTTTATGTATCGTAATTGCCTTTCTCCATAGTATTTTTTTTTAAAGATTTTATTTATTTATTTGAGAGAGAGAGAATGAGAGACAGAGAGCATGAGAGGGAGGAGGGTCAGAGGGAGAAGCAGACTCCCTGCCGAGCAGGGAGCCCGATGCGGGACTCAATCCTGGGACTCCAGGATCATGACCTGAGCCAAAGGCAGTCGCTTAACCAACTGAGCCACCCAGGCGCCCTCTCCATAGTATTTTTTAAAATATTGTTTATCTGAGCAGTTAAAATAAACCCAGGGTCCTGAAATCCACCTTCTATTTTTACTAAGACTCAATCTTTGTTATGATATCCTTGCTATGGTATCCCTACTGCTTCTTGACATTTAAGGTTAAAAACAATGACATTTAAGGGACCCACCTGGATCTCAAGTTCTTTCACTAGAGTCTGTTTTTTTCTTTAAAATGCTGCAAGGCTTGTGTTAATTTCAAAGTTTGTATAGTACATTTTAGATACCTCCATCAAGTCATTAACTCTCAGCTGGTGCATGAAGAATATTTGTTATTATCTTAGTGGGTAAGTAAACTCAGAAAAAAAAATCTGTGAATAATTGTGTGATTAATTTTTTCTTCCAAATGTTTATGTGCTTAGGTTTTACTTTTGATGGGGAGAAAGATCACTGAGCTTATCTTTCTGCTGTAGCATGAGTATCAAAGCTGAACAAAGATGTTCCTGACAGCCTGCTATGTCTGTATCAAACCCTATTCAAATCTTGGTTTTCTTTGACATCTATTGCTTTATCATCTGGTTGAGAAATCTTTGAAAATATTCAAGTTTCTAATTCAGGCAAATCTGCCATCTTGAAAGCAGTGCAGCTGCAATTTGTACTCAAAACCCATAAATATAGATAAAGAAGGAAACGTTTTCTTTATAAATATTATTATTCTTTTGCATGCTACAAGCCTGGTCTGTAACAAACTTGTCACATTCCTCCAAAGAATACAATGTTACACTGTAGAAGAAGCTATTGTAACACATCTAAGATGCTGTGAACATTACATGAGACTTTACTGTTCATTCTTCTGACATCCTGGAGCAGCCTCCACAGTAACTCTGTCCTTGGGGTTTAAGATGTCACCTATTAAGAGTGTCCATATGTACTCCATTGTATAGATGAAACATCAGTTACTCTATCTGCTCTGCTGTTTCCAGTTTTCCACTGTAACAGGTTACCTTCATTCTGCTCAGGGAAGACCAGGCTTCTAAATCTAAATTCCAGGACAGTTCATTACTGCTCAACTTAAGTTCGACATTTAATTTCAGTGAGATTTTCACTGAGATGTGTTTGGGTTCTAGATGTGATGAATACGTCACACAGTTGGATGAGATGCAGAGACAGTTAGCAGCCGCAGAGGACGAGAAGAAGACTCTAAACACTTTGTTACGAATGGCTATCCAGCAAAAACTCGCCCTGACTCAGCGGCTGGAGGACTTAGAGTTTGACCATGAGCAGTCCCGACGCAGCAAAGGCAAACTTGGAAAGAGCAAGATCGGCAGCCCTAAAGTAAGTGGGGAGGCGTCAGTCACCGTGCCCACCGTAGACACTTACCTCCTGCATAGTCAGGGCCCACAGACACCCAACATTCGGGGCAGCAGTGGTACTCAGAGAAAAAGGTATGCATGCAGCGATCTTCACAGTATGGTGCAGAGGCCAGATGTTTAGTTAACTGCAAAAATAAATGTGCTCTTATTGTGGAGGATGGAGGAAGGGAAGGAAGAGAAAAACTGGGAGTGGCTGTATTAACGGGCCTTGCCCCTGTTGGTTTTTCCAAATCAAAACCTTTTGATAATTGTGTTGATTTATTCCTTTCTGTCCCTCATGCCCCACCTCTTGATTAACCATAATATAATTTTCGAGTATCTGTCAACATTTTTGCTGTTCCTTGTATGTGTAAATATGCCTCTCCCTTACCTCCAACCTAAAAATTGCTAGCTAAAAGGTGAATATTAAGAATGAAGCTACGTTTTACTTGTTTTACATGACATTTAAAAGTCATTGTACTTCTGGTAATGGTGCTATTTACCAGCTTCTGTTTAATGGGGCAAGAATATGAATCTGTACTCTTAGGGAAATTTTTGTCCGCATTACCAAACTGACAACTGACTAAAAGGAGATGTCTCTACTGAGGTAAAATGGAATGGAATGTGTATAGTCTTTTTCTTAAAAGCAGGTTTTTGTGCCTTTTCATTTGGTATGTGAATGTTGCTCAAATAACTCATTTGCAAGGGTTTTAGTGGCTTGATTTTGTGACCTTTTTACAGAGTCCTGGATGTTGAATTACTTACCCTGTACTTTCAGTTAATGGTAAAATTTTTATTTTAGGAACTTTCAGTAAAAAATCAAATAATATTTTCTATTTGCAGTTCAAACTGACTAACTATAATAAATTTCTCTTCCAGTATCCAATACAGTTTCCAAATAGGGTTGTATCCTGGTATGGAAACTAAGCAATTAGCAAAAATCTTGATTTACATGTTAAAAAAAATTAAATGCCAGTATAAATAATGCTGTCACTGGTGAGGCTTTGAAAGGTAATTAAAGTAAAACTTTTTTGTTTCCTATATGTATTTTCTTGGATCTCCTGCAAGACAATTTTCACCTTCCCTTTGTGATCAGAGCCGTCCCAGGACTTCAGGGGCTACCTACCTACAGAATTTATTAAGAGTTCCCCCTGATCCCACCTCCACAGAATCATTTCTTCTGAAGGGCCCCCCTTCCATGAATGAATTCATCCAAGGGCACCGGCTCAGCAAGGAAAAAAGGTTAACCGTGGCTCCACCAGGTAAACATTTTTTCCTTGGGTGCATGTGATGCAAATGATTAGCTGAATAGACAACTCTCCCCTTCCTCCCAACCACTCATGCCCACCCATCTACGGAGTCCAACTTTGAATTCCTACAGCTAAAGTAAACACGACTTTACGCTTAGCACCCTGTTTCCTCCTCTACTCTGCAAGACAGGTGTTCCTTAGGAGTCTCCAGGGACTTCCTTTTAACAGCCAACGATGGAAAATGAGAGTTGGAAGGAATGGGATAGGTCAAGGGAACCTAGCATCAGGTGTAATGCAGAGCACACTCCCGGGTCCTATTTGCAATTTGGTAGCTCATAGCGATTCCATCCTGATCAAATTTTGTCATTTTGTTCTGAAAATTTTTAAGGTAATTTCAGTAAAGGGAGCCATCTTTATAAAAGCCTTTTGGGCTCATCTCCTTTTGTAGTGACTCAGAATGTCTCCTCAATCATTATAGAGAAAATAGAAGTAAAATCCTCTTAAGATTTTGCTCCTCAGGAACATATACATCTTAGTGTAATATTCTTGAGTTTGCAAGCCCTTATTGATTTATGCTTACCAATATACTCACATTTTATGTTTAGCTTCTCCATTTTGCATTTTTCTTTTTCAAAAATTTTTCCTATGAAGAGCTTCAGTTGAAAATGTGACTCACTCCTGAGTACTGATACCCAGACAGCTGCACTCAGTCTAGTCTTCGGGACCCTACTGTAACTTTTGAGTTTGCCACAGAAATTTGTTTTTTAATTCACTTTGATTTTATCACCTACCTCATTTACTTTGATTTTTACCTTAATTCCTTTTTGGAAACCTCAGCCTTTGGATCTCTAATAGTTTTCTTATCTGATTTGTGAATTAGTCTACTGATTGGGCTTAAAAGATGTGGTGTGGAAATTTATAGCACATACTCTACATTCTAAGAGTGTTTGAGCAAATAAGTAGTGATAATGAGTTGGAAGAGCATAACAGCCAAAATGTACACCAAAAAAAAAAAAAAAAAAAAAAAGGCAACAATGCTGCTGGATGTTCTTACTTTCATAACTCATTTCCTATTATTTCAGACCCCTTTGGAAGGTACCTTGAAGTATCTGTAAATCACCAAAGTGGTTATGATTCATCAGGACACTTGAATAAAACCCACCAGTCGTTTTAGTGTTCCAACTGGATTTAGTAGCACTATCTACTAGAACTTAGAAAAGAAATCCTGTGATTAATAAGTAACCCTATTGTATTTTAATTTAAAAGTGACATATCAATAAGATTAAAAATTATAAACAATAGCTATTTTCATTTTGTATATGATCATTTGATCCTTATTTACATTAATATGTATTTATATCATTGTCATTACATTGTCAAAACCATTAACATTATATTGTAAACTTTTTTGTGTTACCTAGTCTATTTTTATTTTTAAAGGTTGTTGTATCATAAATTTTGTTTCAGATGTTATTGCACTAATCAGTACTTCTTCTCTTGTTAACCACTGGGATAGTTTTTCATTATTTGTTATTTTATGCATTGCTGCTAGAAATATCCTCATGCAGTCAACTTCTCATCAGTTCAATTTTTTCTCGAGCAAATTCACTGGGTTAAAATTACGAACATCTTTGTGTTTTGTGCTCCCTTTTGACATTGCTGACAAAGAGAGTATATCCAGGTACCAAAAGTCTCACAAAACATTTTTCCTGTTTTCATACATTCTGAATCTTTCTTTGACTTTTTGCACACTGTGCACAACTTGCAACTCTAAGGCTACTTAACCATACATGAACGAAAGCACCATTATGTTGTATTACATTCTTTAGTTTTGAATAACTAGAAAATGCCATTGGCCTTAGAAATTATCATTATACACAAGATTAAAGACATAAAGAATATGGCATTCAGAACCATCACTAGGCCAGAAAATCATTTTAATGACAACGTAGCATACTAATAAACTTTGCATTTTTAACCATTTATTTGAGGTTAAAATAATGACGGAGGGAGAAAGTAAAGCTGTTATTATAGGCTAAGGAATTTTCAGTTTTTTACCATAGGTCCTACCAGATTCGTTCTTAATAAATTTTTAGGTCAACTGAGCAACATTTTCTAAAAAGTTTTGGCTAAATCAATTACTATAGAAAGTGACTGATTACCTACACCAAATTGTAGCTTCTAAAAATATTTGTATTATTGACAATATATATTATTTTTTGTAGGCTGAACTGCATTGGGTAAGACATATTAAATATTATTTATGGTGCTTTTACTGTATAAAATGTGTTCAGTAAGCTGAGAAAGGGAAAAAATGCCATATATATCCAGTCCTATGTTCTCTGCAAGAAATATTTTAAACTCATGGGAAATAATAGATTTTTAAAGTATTTTTTATTCATGAATTTAATATGTTACTGATAATTATAAAATTTATTAGCTAATAACAATATATATTCATCATTTTAAAAGGATAATTCCCTGTTAATTTATTAGAATGTTTTGGATAAGTTTTCTGAAATGTATTTTTAATATATCTTTGTAGGTGATTATTATTATTCTAATAAGTGGGTTTTCTATTGAGGACCATTGAAGTAGTTAAATTAATTAAATCATTGCAGTGGATATACAAAGAATTTAATTTGTTTTGGATCCTTTTGTTGAAGAATTATGACAGATTTAAATCTCATTTAAAAATTTAAAACATAAAGCATAAAATATTATCTACCATATATAAAGGAATTTTCAAATAGATTTTATTTCTATGAGACGGTCAGCAGAAAACCCCATCTTCTTCAAGCCACAATTTCTCAATTTCTGGAAAATCAACTCTAGGATGGGGCATTGATTTTCAAAATTAATAGATTGTTTTGTATTAATTGATTTGCAACATTAATACAACCTTTTGGACGAAAATTCTGGCCTTTGCCTCTGACTTTGGCTGTTTCTGTTGCCTCATCCCCTCAAATTCCAGAGTTTCTGTCCTTAGCTTGTTGACTTTCTTGTTGCTGACTTAGTCCTTATCTTAGCATACAGACTCCAGTGTTCTCACCCATATTGCTACCAGCCTTGATGAATCTGAGTCAAAAAGGACCCTGTTGACATCAACGAGTTTACAATCAGGCAGCAGGTAGTACATCTTCATAAAAATCATTGTTTGTTTTTATATTATTTATCATATAAATTGCTGTTGCATATTATTTATATAATAATAATAATAATAAAATCTTACCATTTCATCAGTAATTAAAATCAATCTATCAGAATATGTGAAAGAAATCTATGTAATTTATAGGCAAGAGATGTTATTTCTATAGTAAAGACTTGACTACGTGATTTGCACAGGTAAATTAGGTTCCTGAACCCAATTGCAATGTGTGTATGTGTGTATGTGTGGAGGCTTCCCCACTCCAATAAGCAATTCTCAGACATCAGCTGGGTATGCTGCAATTCAACTGAGTTCTGACACTATCTACACAGAAATAACATTAGATTTCACCTGTTAAGCCTCAGTCCCACAAGACTGCCCCTCCCCCCTTTTCAGACACCAGTTGAAAGCCCAGGTTATTACTTGTGTTTCTGACCACCTGGCTATGGATTAGAGGTTCCAGTGACCCCCTCCTTGGCTTCAAAGACCAGTCACAAGTTTAGGTTGTTACCTATATTTCTAACCGACTGACTATGAATCAGAGTTCCCATGACCCCCTCCTCAGGTTCAATCAATTTGCTAGAGCAATTCATAGAACTCAGAGAAATATGTTACTTACTAGATTACCAGTTTATTATAAAAGGATGTAACTCAGAGATAGCCAGATGGAAGAGATGTACAGGGCAAGGTATAATGAAGAACCTGGAGTTCCGTGTTCTCTTCCAGAGCACATCACTGTCCCCAGATCTCCAGACATTCACTAACACAGTGCTTTTGGGGTTTTATGGAGGCATCATTACATAGGCATTATTGTTTAAATCATGGGCCATTGGTGATTGATTCAACCTCCAGCCCCTCTTCCCTCCCTGGAGGTTGGGTAGTATGACTAAATGTTCCAACCCTCCAGTCATATGGCATGTTCTCTTGATTCTCCTGACAACCAGTCCCCATTCTTAGGTGGAGTCCAAAAGTCACTTTATTAAAATAACTGGGGACACCTTTGTCACTCTCAACACTTATAAAATTCCAAGAGTTTTGAGAGCTGTGAGCCAGGAATCGTGGATGAAAACCAAATAAATCTTTCTTCTAAATCACAATATCGCAACAGGATAAACAAATCCCAAACTTAAAAAAGCAAGTTTGAACTCTTTTCTTGAAGTAACAGCCTAAGCAATTTGCTGTTCACACTGTGTTTTGCATGTAGGAGTTTTCCCTTTTGGATGTTTTGCTTTCCCCGAAGATTTCAATTCCCTCTGCCCCTCCCTACTTCTCTCTTGCTCTCCTTCTCTTTCTCTGACACACCATTACTGAACTAGTGGGAGAGAATGGTATTATTTTGAAATCTGAAAATTTTGTATGATATTTTGGTTTTGCCAGTCTTTAAGGCAGTGTTAACCTTAGATACGGAATCACCCTTTTAGATGTATAGTCAACAACAGACACAAACATGTTCATGAGTGAAAATTGCCTTTACATTTCACTACATTCAAACATTTTTCTGTTTTTTATATTGTAGTTTATGTTCTCTCTCTCTCTCTCTCTCTTTTTAATTCATTTGAAACCAGGAGATACAGAGCGAGAGAGAGAGAGCAGGAGCAGTGAGGAGAGGTAGAGGAAGAGGGAGAAGCAGACTCCCTGCTAAGCAGGGAGTCCGATGCGGGGCTCGATCCCAGGGCCTGGAGATCATGCCCTGAGCTGAAGGCAGACGCTTAACCATCTGAGCCACCCAGGCGCCCCTGTCGTTTATGTTCTTAAGCATGTACCAAACCCACACTTCTTTCCTTAACTCTTTTGCTCATTCACTCATTCATCAAAACTTAACAGAAGGTATTGAGCTACCACTATGTGTCAGGCACTTTTCTTGGCTTTTGATATAATGTTATTTATGTGGAACATCATCCTTGTGTTTCAAATAAGTAATGGTGTTAATAGATGTTCCCAGAATAAACAGAGGAGTTGGGGTGGTTAGGAGCATCCTCCCAAAAGAAAAGCAAGCACTGGTCATGAAAGTTGACTAGACCTTGATAGGCAGACAGTAGGAATGCCAGTGTGGGTAATGAGAAGAGCCTTCTACGAAGGTCAGCTTTTGCAAAGACCACGAGCCTGGGGACTAGAAATTGAAAGGGGACTTGGGAGTGATGGGAAATGACACTGGAAAGACAGACAAGGACTTGAAAACAAATAGCCAGGTTTGTAGAGTGGACTTTATTCCTTGGGCATAGATGACTGTTTTAAGAATAAAACTAGGTTTTCGTTATATTAGATTGCCCTGACAGCAAGGTGGAGAATAGATTGGATGTGGCTAACCCCTAAGGTAAAGAAGTAGGTATGGAGTCTCATGAAACGTGCAGATGAGAGGTGGTGGAGAGTTGGAATCAAAACAGGGAGAAGTGTGAATGTTGACACGTGTCTGAATTTAGAGAAGTCCAACCATACCTGAGAGCAGGAGCTCTACTTACTCTAACTGCCTGTCTCCTTCATCCTCCCATATTTTATATGTAGAAGGAGCTCAGTGAATGCTATTTGAACTGACTTTCTGAACTAACAGACAGCCTCAGTGGTTTTTTCCCCTAAAGTATATTTTTTCCTCTAGAGGCTTCTCCATTTTTGTGAGCTCCCCTTCACCAAATCATTATGCTTTTTTCCACCCCCACAGGATTCAATCCTTGAAATAGCTAGAGCGAACAGCAGTCTGTTGAAACTTGCAATCTTTTTAGGCTTGTATTTTCTCTTAACATAGCTTCTATAGAGTTCTCTGCAGAGGAAGGCTTGGGCATTTTCTGATGCTAGAACATGTTGCCCTTGGTTTGGTATCCGACAAAAGTTAAATCAAAAATACTAATTCAGAAAATTGCCAACCACATGTTGAAATATACGTTTCTATCTGGCCCCAATGTAATATACAATTAGAAATTGGTTCAAATTTCCAAATTTTGCTGTATCATGTATGCTGCAGGAGTATTTTTCTTTTTCTGGATTAGTCATGGTTCATTTTACAGTGGAAATGTCCAATACCCTCCTATTTCTTTTCAGTATTTTTTCAAGGAGCAATTCTACTTTTACAGGAAATCTTTTACTATAGGATGATCTTGAGTTGGAATGTGCAGTATTAAAAATGTCATCTGAGAGATGTCTCTTCAGTAGATTCCATCTGTCTCTCTGATGAAAGATACCCAACTGAAAACTGAAAAATACCCAACTGAAAACTGAAAAATGTATCTCACTTTTTCCCAATAGCTCCATATTTGCTTTGTTTAGATAAATACCTGATATTCTCTAATTTACAGAATGTTTTGATTTTCGCCCAGATAACTAGTTTCATATGAAAATATTTTAGAATTTTAAGATTTTCCTCCTCTGTTATTTTCTCTTACAAAGTGTTTAAACCCTATGTATCATACATACCAGTTTTACCACTGTGTACATGAATTATGAAGACTTTTCTGATCCCTTATATTCACCAGGTAGAATTACCTGCCTCCTTCTCTTTGCCTCACTCCGGATGACATAGGCACAGTGTCTTAAATCACTTTCCTCTATGAATCTGTAAGCTTTTGGGCAGGAACCTTGCTCCTTGATCTTTTAGTTTTCAGGATCCTGCACTGTACCTGGCACATAGTAGGCCCTCAATCTGGTGGATAATTGGCAATAAGTCCAAATTTTCTACAATATCTCAAATATATGGCTTTATTATAGTTTATCACCTATACATATAGATCTTCTAATGTATAGATTATAAATGGTGTATTTCAGATAAGATTTAATGTAGGTGATGTAATAAAATCTCCCTAAGAGTTGCATTTGGGAACTTTCCAAGTCAGTTATTCACTTTTCTCATCATTTAATTTAGGCAGTGTGTGTATCTGTGTGTGTGTAATATCATATATATAACATGGCATATTATATATAATTTATATAATCTTTATTTGGTTGGGTTTTTGTTTTTTGGGGTTTTTTTTGGTTGTTTTATATGGGTGCCTAAAAATCAAGGTGATTATAAGAAAATATCCATGTAGTACAGAGTAAAAGATTACCTATAAATATGTAGGCTTTCCTTATTTTTTACTCTCTTTTATTCCTTTTTACCTGTTTTTAAAATAGTTTTTAAGTATCATTAATAGATAATGATGGTTCAAAGGTTACAAAAGGTTGTAAAATAGAAAGTAGCTCTCTCCCAGCCTACTTCTTGTGTCCTTCCAGAAACATTCTCTATATGTACAAGTGAATATATATAAATAGGTACATATATAATCACAACTATGTATTATATATGTATTAACATTGGCACAACCACAAACATTGTTATGCATGCTATTTTTTTTTCACTTAATATAGCTTGGCTTTCTTTATATCAATATTCACCTTTCTGTTTATTTTTAACCATATGTTATAGAGGACAAGGAAGATACTTGAACCCTTTACAAAAGCTTGAAATGTTTTCAAGTGTAGAATAGAAATACGTCTTGCTAAACAATAAAATGGTCACCACAAGAATGTTTCACCTTCTAGACCAGAGCTATTCAAAAGAAAGATATGTAATTTTAATCTAGTAACCATATGAGAAAAAGTAAAAAGAAACACATGAACTTAATTTTAGTAGTATGTTTTATTTAACACAATGTATCCATAATATTATCATTGCAAGGTGCAATCAATAGAAGCAATTATGCAGATATTTTATGTTCTGTTCTTCTTAGTCTTCGAAATTTAGCGTATATTTTGCACTTAGACTACATCTCAGTTTGAATTAGCCATATTTCAGGGGCTCAGTAGCCAGATTTGGCTCGTAGCTACTGTATTGGTCATATAGTTCTAGGCCGTCTTACTTACCAGTGGTTTTAACTAGATGTAATTTCTGCACAGAAAGCTAAAATTTTACTCATAATTTTACAATAAGACTTAAGATGGCACATATTTAGGTTTTCTTTTGAAATGAAATATTGGGCCAAATGTTTTTTGTTGCAGATTGATTCTGCTTTGTC